TGGGGTTGGGGTTGGGGTTGGTGGTGGTGGTGGTGGTAAACCCAAAAGCCTACCCCTCTTCCAAACCAAGGGGACGTCCTTCCTGCAAAGCCTGGAAATGGTGGGCAGATAGCTGGCACAGACCCAGCCTCAGAGCAGAGGTGCTGCAAGGTATAAGAATACATAGTATGCAAGATCTAGTATTCAGTATTTGGCATGTTATATAGGTATAGAATATATAAATAGTATATAATGTATGTATGCATGTCTGTATGTATGTATATGTATATGTATATGTATATGTATATGTATATGTATATGTATATGTATATGTATATGTATATGTATATGTATGTAATGTATGTATGTCTGTCTGTCTGTCTGTCTGTCTGTCTGTCTGTCTGTATGTATGTATGTATGTATGTATGTATGTATGTATGTATGTATGTATGTATGTATGTGTATATGAAGTATACATGTATACATGTAATATATATATATATATACATATATATATATATATATACATGCATGACTTAATATACATTACGGCGAGAACAGAATTAGAGGCAACGCTTGGTATGCTGGCTGTTATGGCAGTTCCAGGCACCATTCAGGTGGGCAGCCTCATGCTCCATCATTGCTGCAGACCGAAAATGAACAGCATGCGGAAGCTTTATATCATATATATATATAGGTGTTCTATACTTTAGACTCTAATACAGGTTATATTATATCTAATATTTTAGCCTTACGCAAGCACTCGGCTTTGGGGTCAGGTTCCCGCCTCTTTCCAAGCATTCTCTACGACGTTCCCAGCTTGCCGCTCAGGAGACTAGCTGTCGCCCAGTGAATCTTTTTGTACAGCTACCCTTGGCCGTCCAAGTTCTTCCGGCCTTATGCGGAAGTGGTGTTTCTAGTTCGTTCCAGCTGATGGCAAAGACTCTTTCGAACCTTCCAGCGCCAGCGATAGCCTTGATTCATGCTGTGTATGCAACATACTATTTAGCCAAACAAACTTCAGGAAAAGACACATGTCAGCGGTACACATTGGCATACTCAGGAACATCCTAGTTACCCTGCAGGTTTCTACTTCCTTGCTATTTTGGGCTGAGAAGTGCGAGAACGCATCCTGAGCTCCTGCAATTGATGGTTTAGGGCTTAGGGGCCGCTAATCCTACTACGACGACGACCACCACCACTGCGACTACTACCTACGGCCTACGACTACCACAACTGGCACTGGTACTTGTGCTAGTACTAGAGGGGTTCAGTGCTAACTGTCAGTTTCTTCTAGCTACCGGGCCGTGTTCCGAAATCGAGCAAAGACAGGGAGAAGCTTGAGACACGGAACCCAAGGTTGACAATTCCAGACCGCCCAATCGGGGGATGGTAGATGCTTAGGCTCACTCTGAACGTGCATGATCCTTACTTGCTGTTTTGCCATGTTTTGCCCTGCAGCTCAAGATGAAAAAACTTGTCAATGCCTAGCCTTCAGATGCTGAAGTCTGAAGCATGCATTCCCCGTTCCCCTTTCGGGCTGGCCTTTGCTAATTCAGGTGCATAGAGAGCCTTAGGCGATCGCCTTTCGAAGCCTCGCTGTGTTGCCGTGGGGTCTGAGTATGGTTTAGGGTTTGGGGTTTAGGGTTTATAAGGGTTTAGGGTTTAGGGGAGCTCAAGCAACGCAGCAGGCGTGAGACATGCACTTTGAGTCCGACGTCAGCAAGGAGAAGCAGAGCTAAACCGACAAAGCTTGCGAAGTAGGAGGCAAGAAAGAAAACCTTCCACTTTCCCCCAAGCCCCCAGCCCGGGCTTTTTCTTCGTCGTCTTGTCTGCTTTGGAGGAGGGTCGTACCTGGGCGGAGACAGTTGCAGTGTAGACGAAAGTTCCAATCAGGCTCACCCAGTGGTGTCATAGCGACAAGCATCATGAACATGGCCGGAAGCCGAAATAGGAATTTGTCCAACGAAAGGGTCATTTATCAAGATGATGCTGAACTGAGCGACTCTAATGAGGGATGGGTGGTCAACAAAAAATGCGCATAGAACAAGTGCATCCTGTCTTGCGTGCGGGCTGTCGTAAGTATTCGTAAGTAGCCTCGAGATGTTCATGCTGGGTGCCACCGGAAGCGTGCAGACTGGAATATACAGGAATTGCAGGGCCCTCCCCGCAAAACCAGAACTTGCTTGTCCTTGTTTCCCTGTGACCTGTGGATGGTGCAAGCGCTTCTTTGTGACCCACTGGTCGAAGTAGAGCTCAGGCTTGTGGTACGAGTTCAGAATTTGGAGGAGGTGCGGGCGTATATAAGCTCTGCGCATGTGAGGACGTAGCGCAAGCTGAATTAAGGGATGGGAACGTTTCGTATACTGACTTGCCATAGATGTTAAATTCTTTGTTAGAACCGAACGTTTTGTTGCAGGTGAGTCGTGGATGTAAGCAGAAGCCGGCAAAGACATCCGAAAGCTTGGACTTTTTCACGTTGCTCCAGCCGCCACTCCGCCAACTCACGACCCACCCTATCGGAGTGTAGGTATAGGACCTTCGGCCCCAAGAGTAGCGCGACTTCAAGAGCGCTTGCACCATCTGCGGCCTACAAATCCTAGACATTTCAGAGACCTCCAAGAGGCCTCCAAGACTTCTGGCGGACTTGGTAGCCTTTGCGGCAAGGATCTGTGCATTCGCCCAAATTAAGCTTAAAGGCAGCAGTAGCATCATTTGCTCATAGGCAGCATCACATCCACAGTTTCACTGCTCCTATTATCGAGTGGTGCCTCGGAGAGAGTTTCTAATTTGTTCCCATTGTACCGAGTCATCTACAAGCTACAGTTGCCGTGCGAAGCCGCCACAGCGGGTCGACAGCAGTGTTGCGATTGTGCTGAACGCTTACTATATGAGCTGCCAGAGAAGCGCGGTCTGCACAAATCCCTGATTGGGCCACCCGCCCGGATGCCGAAGATCAGTAGCCAAAGGCTGGACGAGATCCATCACGATTGGACAAGACGTTGGACGCTAGCCAGGGCTTCCTGCTGGAGCATTGGGCCTCGTTTCCTCCATCCTATAAGTCTGGAGAAATGCAGGAAGCCCTGACATTGCTGGACAGCTCTGGAACCCAAGCATCCTCCCCTGCACAAGTTGGGCATGGCTTGCGATCCGGAGACTTACAGCATGGTATTGGCAGGAAAGAAGGAGGAAGGTCGCACATCGAGGATGATTAGCCGCGCACAGCACCACTCGAAGCTTACAATTCCTTCCTTCTTGGACCCTGCCACCTCAAAGACAGGAAGAGATGCTGTTTGCAGTTTGTGCCGTAGCTTGACTGCAAGGTACACATTGTGTAGAGCCAAGGCTTTAAGCTCATAAACTCTAAACTTTCCCTAAACCCTAGACTACTAGATCATATACTCTAAATAAAGCTTGTCAAGTTGTCGCGCATGCTGCGAGCCGGTGTCCGCTGAAGCGGAGATGGAGAGAATGCATCCAGCATCGGCCCGCATAACTGTTTTGAAAGGTTGGCACAGATATCATGTCTAAGAGGCCGCCATCGGGGCTATGTGAGCATGCCAGAGCTTCGAAATTGGGACCTAACTTAGAGAAGCACCCCTATTATAGGGGCTTCAATAGTTACCAATACCATTTTGGGGGTTCCTTGTTATGGGAGAATGTCCTCGCATTGTGCAACGCAGCAACTCTGCTTGGAGTTCGGGAGTTCTGGCTGCTCCCTTGCCGTGACAAAGCTTAGGAGCCTGCACTGCATGCCTGCTTTTCTGTAGGTCAATCACGACAGACCAGTATTGTGAGTATTTGTGGCTCGGGCAATTCTGCAACTCGCCTTAAAACAGTCATGGATATGCCGAGT